AAAAAAAAAAAAAAAAAAGCTAAAAACCACCGCTGAGCTACCAGGCTGTTACTGTGTGCACACTTTCGCTTTTGCAGAGTGTTTTACAAAATTTAGTCATCCCTCCTCGTCACTCTGTGGAGCTGGTTGGCAGATTATCCCCAGAATTGGAAACACAGAGGACAAATCTGCCTCCGGGGGTCATTCATTACTGAGCATTTATCTTTCACTGCACATATTGACTCTTCTGTTAGTGCAGAGCTGACTGGCCTATTATCTCAGGACTTTCCAAAAATAAAGGTATCCTTTTTAGTAAAGCCATGCTTTCTTTGGTTTGTGTCCATATGGCCTACTTGCGTGGAATGAAAAAAATACTGCCCCCGCCCCCTCCCTTCAGATTTCTGGTGACACGCCTGGTTCCAGGCACACAGAAAAGGGTGGAGGCTTTTGAAACTGGCCAGGAGAGGAACACAAGCATCAATGCTGGGGGAGGCCAAACCATGTGGCCCTGGATACAAAGCAAAGGTGAGGTGCTGGGGTCCCTCCCTCTCCCCACGACTGTCAGGTCTTATTCTGCATCACAGAGGGGCAGATTAAAACTGACAGCTGCTTACTAAGCAAGAGGAAGAGCTGCTGAACTGGGCATGGCAGCCCGCTATCAAATGACTTGGGCCTGACCGTATACGGGCAGAAGCTTCTCCAATTATCTAGCACTATCCATTCTTAGACACAGTGGGCACTTGGCGGATTAATTCAGTGATGCCCACCACCGCTTCTGGTTTCTCTAGAAGAGGATGATTAAAAGTGCACAGAGACATTTGAATTTCAACTCGCTCCTCCCTAGTCCTCTGTGCTGAGGCTGATCTGGAGCCAACGTTAAATCCTAGGCTGGCGGCCCCCAACGGCTGCACAGCCAGAGCATACCAAGGACTCATGTTGCCCGAGGAAACCATAATGAAGAAGGAATGGTCACTGTTATAAACAACAACAACGAACCACATATGGTAGTAAAAATAGTAATAATCGTAACAGTGACCACTTCTAAGAGCCTTCTTTATACATTCTTACAAATCAACACAGACAACAATTAATGGAAAGTAGGTTTATCCTCAGGTGAGGAAGGCTTAAGGAGGCAAGGCAAAGTGCTGTGGCCCCAGAGCACTCTATTGGTGGGGTTAGGAATCAAACCTATGTCTACCACTGTACATGGTCAAATCTTCCTGAGTACGAAGTCACAATGTTTTGAATAGGACATGCAGTCAAAATGTAAACAGAACACAGTTTGGGAGCAGCTCAGGAAAGCCAGTATGTTGCTTCTCCATTACTTGCACGGATGACTGACTCAACAGTAATAATCACTGCCGCGTCATGTTCATGTACACAAAGATCGTTCTTGGCCAGAAACCAGTCTTTAACTCTAGTATGTTTTGCCAGGGTTCTAATGATGTATGGACGGCTCAGCAGAGATACTGTCACCATGGGAAAACCAGCTCAAAATCCCCCTTGAAAGTGAGCACACGCAGCATACACCAATCTCTCTCTCTCTCTCTCTTAAGAATTTCAACTACTAATGCACTTGGGTTATATTCTCAGTGCAGTCGAGACTTACATAGGCTGGTTTATAGGGAGTGCTGGAATCTGAGGGGATGGTTTGTACATTCCTATCACTTCCCATTTGTTTGTAGCGATGCTTGGGGCAGGAAGGGCTGTCAGGAACATGCCATGAGTGGTCCTCAGAAATGGATTTCCCTGAAACAAAACACAGCAAGTGACAGTCCATTCTCTCCAACCAAAGGATTCATACTTAGTTACACAAAAAAAGGTCATGGGTAACATGGCATCAGGTTATAGTATAATATGAGTTCTGCAGCTTTCCTTGCAAAGCATGCACATTTGCAAAATGTCAGTACGCCCCAGAAGGGAATGAAATGAGAGTCATGCAACTGAGCAGCATTGTGCCTTCACTAGATGGGTTCACGATGGAGCACAACAAACACAGGATTTTTTGAAGATGAATGGTGTTTTGGAGCCGGGCGTCTAGTGGCGGGGACACTGGCAGCGAGGCCAGGTCAAAGGGCCAGAAGGACTGAAGACCCCTCAGGAGTGGGGGAGAGTGAACGTCAGGATGGACCTGGGGGCCAGAGGGCCGCTCGTGGCACTACCCCACCACTGCACATGGCGATGGGGCAGGGAACATTGGTTAGAACTGCAAATCAAGGAAAGGAAGGTTTCTTCTCCTGTGGCTAATGCAACAGTACTTTTACCCCTGCCCACCCATCCTCTTCCCAGGAAGCACCGTAAGCAAGGAAGGAAGGGGTTGCAAACCAAGCCACCGTGAAGAAAGCTTGGTCTATGCCGAAGAACTTCAGTTAGATGGCGGGGGGTGGGGGGGGGATTAAAGTTTTAAAAGACACCATGAAGAATTCCCTTCTGCACAGGCCTGAGGGGCAGGAGAAGGACAGCATGGAGACTGCTCCTGTCTGGGCGGGGTTCTGTAAGGAGCACGCAGGTATGTGTGAGTACGGCAGTGTAAATACACCATGACACAAGGACCAAGGCGCATGGTGTCCACAGAAGGCAGAGGTCAGACATGACATGGGAGCGAGGTTTAGGATGCAGTGTTCGCCACAGGAGGCTGCCATGTTGAGACACATGCACGGTCAGGGGCCTACCAGAAGACGCTTTCAAAGTTTTTGTGGTCATTTTAAGATAGGCCTCAGGATTTTCAGGGATTTCTACATCTGAAAAAGAATAATGTCATTTTCCTCACCGCAGGCATCTGTAGATGAATGCCCAAGTATTAAGTTAAAACAGTAGAAACATTGTCAGCTGGGAGAAGAGTAACTACCTTGGATCTGTCTTATTAAAAAGGTTTAAAAAACCGAAAGGATTTTTTTCAGCCGACTCTTGACGGTTTGAAGCCGTTGTGGGAGAGGGGGGAGTCCACGGAAAAGAATGGAGACAATCTACCAATGCTCTGAAGAACTCAACTGAAAAGTTCACTGATGAGCCTCCCAGACAGCCAGAGCCATCAGAGAATAGCCTTAATGTCCCCAGGTGAATTTCGTTCCTTTTTCCCTTTCATTCCACCTGTCATAGGAATGAGCCACTCTCAGGGAAGTCAAAGTGGGCAGGACAGAACACAAGAAGCCACAGAGGTCTGGGTCAGCCATGAGCTGGACTCTGGGTCATCCAGAGATGGCCATGTTGCTACAGTGCTAAAAACATAACCAAGTGGGTCGATGTCAAGGGCTCTGGAAACAGGGGCTGTTACCTGATAGTGCACTGTAGTATGGGCCTTCCTCATCATCTTCGTGAGAGGAGGAGCCCCCCACGTCACCTGTGTGATCCCACTCCAGAGGGATGGAGTCCACGCTGACGGGGGTCTCACAGCCAGACCGCTCGGGCCCCGGCGCCGGGGGCACCAGATGACAAAGGGACTGAGGGGAAGAGGGTTCCTCGCTCTCTCTCCTTTTGCGCCAAGAGTCAGCCTGGATCTCTCTGGGGTCCTCCATGTCCGTTTCATTCTCGGAGGCCTCTTTTTCATCTTCCAAGCCCTAAAGTGGGGATGTCCAGTTTTCAGAATGAACCACATTAGAGGCTTGCAGCTGTGAGGTGCACAGGGAGTCTGCCTTGTCTGGCAGTTCCTGAAAATGGCCACTGCCCACATTTCTGTGGCCGCTTTAAAAAAGAATCGGGTTAGGTGCACCTGGGTGGTTCAGTTGGTTAAGCGTCAGAGTCTTGATTTTGGCTCAGGTCAGGATCTCATGGTTTGTGAGATGAAGCCCCGTGTCAGACTCTGCACTGGTAGCATGGGGCCTGCTTGGGATTCTCTCTCTCCCTCTCTCCCTCTGCCCCTCCCCTGGTCACTGTCTCAAAATAAGTAAACTTAAAAAAAATTTTTTTTAAAGAAAAAAGAATCAGGTTCCCAGGGCCTAGTTGTGATTATTCTAATTTAGACACTTTAGTGTGAGGCCCGGAATCTGTATTTTCGGCAAAGCCCAGCCTCTTTCCTAGGAGAAACCTGACATTTGATGGTCTAAGTTAAACAACTTTCCCTAGAAGAAAATGGAGGCCAACATTTTATTAGTGGTTAATGGTAGGTTTCTCCAAGAATCAGAAAATTTTAAATAAAAAAAAAAATGTAAGGCCATTAAGAGTATTCTGGCTAAGATTCACAACTTCATGACTATATGTACCAGATTCTTTCTTTCTTACCCCTCCATCTTATTGTTCAGGATGCAGAACCTTATTCTTCCTATGTTGTAATGCCTTGGTTTAAGAGAAATGCCTAGAAACTGATACATTTAGAAATGAGGAACCTATAGTGACTTTTAAGGCTATGTCTGATGAAGAAATAACCATCAAGTTAGCCAGTTGGAGACACAAAAAAGGAAAAAATGGCCAGTTGTGTTGCTCAATATGGTTATCATGAAAGCTTCTGGCACACAAAGGCAATGAACTTTGAATAGTGGCCTGAATGTCACCTCAACTTCCCAGAAGGTCCCTCTGCCAGGGAAACTTCACAGTTGCTATGGGAAACTGGTGCTTTTGTCACTTCACAGGTGAGAACAGGGGTGCCCGGGTGGCTCAGTGTCAGCTAAGCGTCCAATTCTTGATTTTGGCTCAGGTCATGATCTCATGGTTTGTGAGTTCGAGCCCTATGTTGGGCTCTGTGCTGACAGCTCGGAGCCTGGAGCCTGCGTCTCCCTCTCTCTCTCTCTGCCCCTCCCCCACTCACACTCAGTCTCTCTCTCTCTCTCTCTCTCTCTCAAAACGAACAACTTTTTAAGGCTCCCAGACACTAAGAGGAAAAGGCCAACACATTCCCAAATTAGTACCGTAAGCAAAACCAGAACATATATCCGCATATCCTACGGGTGCTGACACATGTGAGGAGAGCCCTGGGCTGAGGAACACACAGAAAACAGTTGAGGGGCGCAAAAACTTTCAGAAATGCCGTCCCTTCCATCGGGTAATGGGAGCCCCCAAGTTAAGTGTGACTCTGGGGTAATAAAAGCAGAAACAGAACGGTTTTGCTCTCCTTTTTACCATAAAATACGTCACAGCTGACCAGTACATAGGTTTCCAGCTCTGTAAAAATTTGGCCAGACGTCAAGTGTGCGGAGCCCAGTCGGTGAACCGTCAAGTTTGCGCAGCCCGGAGGCGCTCCGCACGAGCGTGCGCTCCCCTTACCGGAGCGCGGGAGGTCAGCCGGCGGTGGAACCGCGAGACGCGGCCGAAGACCTCCTGGCAGTAGCGGTGCAGCTCCTCCAGCTCGTCCTCGATCAGCACGGCGTCCAGGGGCTCGCTCTTCTGAATCAGCTGCTCCCCGAACACGATGAGCTGATCGATCTTGTTGGTATTTAATGTAATTTCCTGTTGGAAACCCTATTCAGAATAGGAGAGAGAGACGATTTCAAAGAAGGAAAGTTTCCCTGAGGATCCAGACGATGTCTACTTCGTTCTTTCACCCAGGACGCGAGCTTCATCGATTTTTTAACAAAGCGACAATAAAGATTTAGAGAATTTATTTTTTTTAAATTTTTTTTTTTTCAACGTTTTTTATTTATTTTTGGGACAGAGAGAGACAGAGCATGAACGGGGGAGGGGCAGAGAGAGAGGGAGACACAGAATCGGAAACAGGCTCCAGGCTCCGAGCCATCAGCCCAGAGCCTGACGCGGGGCTCGAACTCATGGACCGCGAGATCGTGACCTGGCTGAAGTCGGACGCTTAGCCGACTGTGCCACCCAGGCGCCCCAAGATTTAGATAATTTAAAATGACTGTAGGGGGGCGCCCGGGTGGCTCAGTGGGTTGAGGGTCCGACTTCGGCTCGGGTCATGATCTTGTGGGTTGTGGGTTCGACCCCTGCACTGGGCCCTCTGCTGTCAGCGCAGAGCCCGCCGCCTCCTTCGGATCCTCTGTCCCCCAATCTCTCTCTGCCCCTTCCCCGCATGCACTCTCTCTCTCAAAAATAAATAAACATGAAAAAAATAAATAAAACGATTGTGCGCATTTTTTCCCTCTCCCTTCTGGGCACTGACTTTTGCAATTAAAATAATTCTACACTTGATCTTAGCCAAAAGGCCAAGAAGCGGTTACAATTAAAATAATTCTAAAAGTTTGGCAAGGACAGACATCTACTGCCGCTGGGTGTGAGGGCCAAAACTTGTCTTACTGACACTGAGTGGAAACAAAATTTCTCATAATAAACCACCCGTGGGCATTTGGTCCTGCTGACCCAATAATCACCGCATTGGTGCCGTTACATTAAGGAAGGCAAGGGGCGCCTGGGTGGCTCAGTCGGGGTTAAGCGGCCGACTTCGGCTCAGGTCATGATCTCGCGGTCCGTGAGTTCGAGCCCCGCATCGGGCTCTGTGCTGACAGCTCAGAGCCTGGAGCCTGTTTCAGATTCTGTGTCTCCCTCTCTCTGACCCTCCCCCGTTCATGCTTTGTCTCTGTCTCAAAAATAAACATTTAAAAATAAATAAATAGGGGCGCCTGGGTGGCGCAGTCGGTTAAGCGTCCGACTTCA